TGTCTATGACAAAAAAATATTAATTTGATTACTTTCATTGTATCTAGTATTTGTTTAGTAGTATTCACTCTGCTACATACTTTCATGCTCATTTATTCGCCAAGCAAAGCAGAAACTGCTTTTGTTCAGAGACTTGATTTAATTCACATAAAAAAACACAAGCTCTGTGCTGCACCACCCAGTCTCCCACGTGTATTTTACCCTGCATGGTATCTGAAGGGGCTTCAGGGAGGAATGGAAAATTGTCTTTCACCTCCAAAATCACATTGCACTCTCATGTCTTTTCTCATTGGTCTCCACATTTAAAATATGTGATTAACAATATTTAAAGTTCCTCTTTGAAATGAAGCTTTAATTCCAAAGCAGACTGTTTAAGAGAGCAATTTTGGTAAAGATGTTAGAGATTCAAATTATTCATGTTGGGCCAAATGTTAAATACTAACTTAATTGCCTTCAAATTTGCACAGGAACTAATTAGGCCTCTAGCCAGTTGAAATCACCCACTATCAACGTGTAGCCATACATTTCAAATGATCCTGGGAAGGGCGGATGCTCTGTGGAGAGTAAGCATGATAGACAACAGCAAATGTCCGGGAAAGCCAGTGGCTGGTGCAAACCAGGACAGTGACGTCTCTGCTGCCTCCCGCATAAGACTTGTAGCTTCCAAGCATATGAGACCAGCTTAGAACTTTGGGGATAATAATGAAAAGTATATACCTAGCAGTACATAATAAAATAGTAGGGGGCTGGGAAGGTGGCTCAGTGGTAGAGTGCTTGCCTTGCATGCATGAGGCCCTGGGTTCGATTCCTCAGCACCACATAAGCAGAAAAAGCCAGAAGTGGTGCTGTGGCTCCAGTGGTAGAGTTCTAGCCTTGAGCTGAAGAACTGAGGGACACTTCCCAGACCCAGAGTTCAGGCCCCACGACTGAAAATAATAATAATAATAAGGGGCTGGGTAGGTGGCTCAGTGGTAGAGCGCTTGCCTTGCATGCATGAGGCCCTGGGTTCGATTCCTCAGCACCACATAAGCAAAATAATAATAATAATAAAAAAATAGTAGGAAGCAAGTAGTCATCTACTGAAATGCTGTGTGACTTAACTTTTTATGTTACACATAATATTTTCATGGCTGATATCTAGACAGCCTGTCACATTTACACCATCATAATCTACATCCCAAGAATAGGACATCCAGAGGTCATTACAATGGCTGGGTGGCTGAACATTTATACAAATCTAAACACTGTCTTTTCTAATTTTAATTGAACCTCCAAAGATTTGGCACGCAGAATTCCCTGGTGTTTTCAGTTCCCGTGGATGTACTTTTGTGAAGCCAGATTGGTATCTGGCTGCAATAAAACAAATAGAATAAATTAAATTTGTAAGAAAAGATAGCTGGATAGGCAGGCAGGTAAGGCACTAGGCACTGTTTTATGAGTAATATTCACATTACAAAATGCTTAGCATAATGCAAGAAGTAAAATCAAGTTTTAGGAGGCTGAGGATATAATCATAATGCAAATACATGATGAAGTAAGTCATACATTAAAAATAAATTTCAATCGAGAAGCTATGAAGTTCACATTACATATGACTATAACACAATGCACTAAACAAACATACTGAAAATCTAGAGGTCTCTGAAAGAAAAGGGTATTTTATAAAATAGTAGTTAATTTAAAATTCAGACCTGAGAGTTTGAAGAATGCAAGTGAACTTAAAAGATAATGAATTGTACCACATATAATTTTATTAGCTAAGGTCAGTAAAACTAGTAAACATACATGACTTATATAAGAGGGTTGCTGGGAGAGAGTAAAGGAAGGGGTGATATTGCTCAGGAAGAAATGTCCTCATTACCTGGCTTATGAAATGGTAATCTATACATCACCTTAGTGATAATTAAAATTAAAAAAATAAAAAATAAGACAGAAAGTAGAAATATTCATAAACAAAAATGATATTACATGCATTACGGAACTACATTTTCTTAAAATGAAAATAGCCCATGCATTGCTAAAGGGAATCTGGAATGAAATCTGAGGTCGGTGTGTTCTTTTTGTGTTATAAGGCATTGTTTACATGACTAGCAAACATCCCACTTACTTAGAATGAGGAGGAGGAAGAGGGCAGGAGTGGTTATGCATTAGGCTCCCACCTCAGCCATACAAGGAGCCTCTTTCTACCTCACCTGGAAGTTCAGCTGGTGGAGGTACTGTTAGCTCTTCCACTCACCCAGGCCCCCTCAAGCTGGTGAGCCTTCTCTTGGTGCCCACCCACCCTAAGATGTGAACAGATGCCCAAATTCATGGCCTCCTTACAGCCCAAATCTCAGGAAGTAAAGAGAAGCCAGGCAGACTTAACACCTCTCATTTTCAATGACATTTAATATAGAGGTAGTGTCAATCGTTTTTTGGACAGCTACTTTTTTTTTCCTTCCCAGATTGTCCCCACCCTGCACCATCCTCTCAGAATATCCTCTGTGCCTCCATTTCTTTACAACGAATAAACGTGGATACCTTATATTCTCATAGATATTAGAGGATGCTATATACATGCAAATCAAACAAAGCAATTAACCCAAGTAAGTTCAGCTGAGGTAAACGCTACACACTATTTGGCTTAACGAAAGGCAGCTAAGATTAAAGTAAGCCTTCAACTCGTTTAAATCTCTCCCCTAAGCAAATACTTTGCTGATTGCAGTATTCTCAGGGTATTTGATAAAGCATTGCTTCAACCATAGAAAAGCAGATATTTGTGAAAGTAATTGCCAGAGATTTTATAATAATTCATAATCACTATCTGGAACCTTAATGTAAACTTACATGCACATTTTTAGTGAGCTGTGTAATCTTATATTCCAAAATGGGGGGAAAAGCCTTCTTTTCAATATCTGACAATGGGTCCACTAACTGGAAACAAATAAATCTTACTGGAAACAAATAAATCTTACTGCAAATACATAGACTTTTTATATTATAAACAAACTATAAATATTACTACTAAGGCATGGACTTTTTATATTAAAAATCAAACAAAGGAATTTTCCTATCTCATCTGCTTCTCTTTCTGACTGACTTTCACATACACATAGGTACAGGGACATTCTCTCTCTCTCTCTCTCTCTCTCTCTCTCTATCTCACACACACACACACACACACACACACACACACACACACACACACACAGAGTACCTCAAACTCCCAATTAAGTGTGTTTTATCCTCTGGAACATTAATATTAGCTTCAGAAAAAGTATAGTCAACCCTTCTCCAAACAGAGTAGATCTACGTTTGTATTTTTTAAACTATAGCTGCTAGAAGCTGCATCCCAAGCTTAATAAATTTATATTTCATTTTCAAATTATAGTCTCTAAAATCCCTTTGTATAAGACTCACATAGTTATTTACAGCTTCTGGAAAATGAAATATACATAAACACACACACACACACACACCCCAATTTCTCTTTAATAGAAAGACAACCCCAACAGATGTATATAGCAAATTAAAATTTGTCATAGAAATGCAGTGCATGAGAAAATGAACCAGTGCCCATGCTTACCACACATTACACAGCCTACTCTCTGGCTTCACAGTGGGATGAGACAGAGAAATACAAGTAAGTTCATGAAGCTGTCATGTGACCTTCTTACCCGCCAAGCACTCTGGTCCAAAATAAGAAGCTATAAATTTCTTCCTCATTAAATACTTAGACATCTTCACAGAGAGATTTAATAGACAAGTCCTCTAAACCTTGTGTTTAAAAGTTAACCAGAGTCCTCAGAACACATTTTCTGTCCAATATTTAACCACCTGTAAAACCTAAATTTTAATTTACAGAGAGGCAATTACAACTCATCTCCCAGTGTTTGGTTTGTATGTTCTTGCTTTTTGGTTACATTCTTATGCATTCTGCTAAACGTCCAAGGCCACACATGCCAGTTTTTAGAGATAGTTCTAGTTTCTAATAAGGCATATAAAATATAGTCAATTTGAAGTACATTTCTTCCCCAACTTGGTGAATAATGTGTTGGAATGTTTTCTTCAGAGCTTAGATTGAAGGGAACTTTCTTTCTCATATTTTTTACAAGTTCTCCACCTCTATTCCTGCCTCTCTATCTCCAAGAAGACCACAGCCTCTCGTCACCTAGCCAGAGTAGATATCACAAGGCAAACATTTATAGTCCAGGAAATGCCCAGGAAAAAATGTGTTAATCAGAAGTCTAACATCCAATTGTCACTAGGACAAAAGCCTAAATTTTTGACAATTCTTCCAAGAAGGGATTTGTTCTTCATTTTTGTAGGTACTCCTAACTCATATCTATATGCTTTTCAGTGCATCCCATTTCTTTCCTGTGAGAAATACACCTGTATGAGTATTGCAGCATTGTTGTCATTAATTGCTTTACCACCCATTTTCTTCTCAGAGATGTCAGTGAGATCTGGGTCTGGGAACAGCCACAAATCCCTCAATATTTTTAAGCCTTGCCTGCAGGCTGATGGCAGTCTCTTAAGCTGCCCCTGATTCATTCTCCATCACTCACCAGAATACAGAGGGCTGCTGTGACCACTACAAAAGGATGGTCCTCTCCTGCAGAGATTGATCTCAGCTAGCCAAGATTTTACTTTCATTTCTAATAGCAGAGTTTAGAGTCTTATTTTTCCCCTCAGTCGCAACAACCCTGTAAGTCGTATCTTTACACCCTTCTGTATATCACTCCGATCCATCCTAATATAAAAATACATTATTAATATCTACCTTTAATGTATTCGTTTGCTCAACATTTTGGGAAACAAACAAAAAGACCTTCATTGTTTCTTTCAACTTGCCTACTCCTCCATATACCCACTTTGCTGTAGCTATATTGTATTTGTGCTAATACTAGGACTTGAACGAAGGTTCTAATACTCTCTCTTGGCTTTTTTCCCCTCAAAGCTATTGCTCTACCACTTGTGTCACACTTTTAAGCATGTTTTGTGTTTGTTGGTTGGCTTACTTTGTTTTTTTGGTTTTTTTTGCTGGCTAACTGAAGAGTCTCACAGACTTTTCTGCTGGGCTAGCTTTGAATCTTGATAATCAGATCTCAGCTTTTGGAATAGCTAGGGCTGTGGATGTGAGCCTCCAGCACCTGGCTTCTTATTCTCTTATGTAGTTCCTCTAAATAAAATGAGGAAGATCTTTGTCCCATTAATGTAGAAAGTTGCTTCATGGAAGCACTGTGGTTTCACTCAGGTAAATGTCACTCTGAGCTCTTCCATAATCTGCCCTAAGTTTAAATCCACGCTGGCTGTCCCTAGCTGCACTGCACATACCTTGTACACAATGATTTTGCTTTTCTGAGGAGGAGGCTATAAGGACATTGCATCTACCCCTTTTTCAAATCTTTTAATTCAAAGGAAATTTGAGAGGAGGCAGGGTTCTAAGAGTGAAGTACCTTTTTCAGCTATAATGATAGATGATGTGTGAAAATATGTCACAAAAAGAATAAAAGAATAGAATTTGGTTCATGTTTGCTTCTTCTACAGATGCTCATATCTCCTCTCTGTGTCTGTGTCTGTCTATCTGTCTGTCTCTCTCTCTCTATGTCTCTGTCTCTCTGTCTCTCTCTCTCTCCCTCTGTCCTGGGGTTGGAACTAGCTTTGTGTTTGCTAGGCAGGTGCTCAACCACTTGAGCTATGCTCTCAGACCTGTTCAATTATTTTTTAGATATAGGCTCATACTTTCTTCCTGAGTCAGCCCTGAAACACCATTCTTCCACCTTCACCTCCCAGATAGCTAGGATTAGAGACAAGAATAATCATGACAGACTGGTTCATTAAGATAAGATTCCACTGTTTTTGCACAGATTAACTTCAAACAAAAATTCTCTCATTTCTGCCTCTAGGCACTTCTGATTACAAGCATGCTCCATAGCACACTTATTTCCTCTTTTAATGACATTGTAGTCAGAGAAGTTTGATTAATTTACAACAGTTTGAAGTATTAATTTCTTTATAGTAGTGTAGTATGGCTACTTAAAGAATTAGTACTTAAAGAATTAGTATGGCTACACAAAGAATTAGTCATTTGGAATTGAAGATATCTAAACAGGATGGGTAAGAAGACTTGAAGAGAAAGATGTAAGTTAAGAATTGTTTTGTGCTCTAGAGGTTTAATGCTGGTTCTAAAACAATCATCCATTCCCTTCAAAGTACTGCACCAAACAGGTGCATTAAGAAAGTGAGAAGATGAAGAATACTAGCTATGAATGCCTCATGTTGAACTTAACGTTGGTAAAATTCAAGTCTTGTTAGATCAATGAAAACACTGTACCTCCACTTTCCTCGCTGCATGATATTAAGGCACTTAGGCAAATATCTCTTTCAGAGTATAACTTCAGTGCATAATTTGGAAAGGAAATCCATCATCTAGTTCTTTTCTACTTTCTCTGGATTTTTTTGGCATCTTCAAGCATAATGCTTTACCTAAAAACCCTTCAACACACATATTATAAGATTTAAGGAATTAAGGCCATATTCTGAGACTTCTACCTATTAAAAACAATCAAGCTTAAGTAACCAATTTAGGTAGCCTCAGAATAGGTAGCTACTGGGTTCGAGAATTCTCACTAGTATTGTTCTAGAGGATTCTGAAGAGTGACAGTGGGTGTTTTCTGCCACCATTATCCCCACCATTCTGTGAAAATATCAGGCAGAAAATCGACTAAAGAGACCCAATATAAAGTTAGAAACTTGCCCAAAATTCTGAAGTATTATTTCTGATGCATTATTCTTCAGTTACAAATACATTTGTCTAAGACTCTGAAGTATTAGTATCAAAAGGTATGACATAAATTGGTGACACATAAGTATATCTTAAAATGGAGGTCAAATTAAGGATGACATGCACTCAAAATGGTTTATGTGTTTCATCTTTTTGGGAAAGAGGGGAAAAATGTGGTTCTGCTAGCACTTAGAGAAATTACTTGTTCTCAGGTCACAGATCAGCCAACAACCAGAATCAAAGCCTGAAAACTCTTCCATCAGACACAAGCGCTCTGCAGGGTTGACTATGGAGGGAAGGAAAGTGCAGGACAAGCCAGGTGGCAGTGGATCTTGCCTTTCATCCTAGCTGCTCAGGAAAATTACAGTTCAAAGCTAGCCTACACAGACAAGTCTACAAGTGTCTACTTCCAATTCACCAGCTAAAAGCCAGACTTGGGGAATGGTTCAAGTAGTAGAGAGCCAGCCAGGAGCTGAGAGAGTGTTGGTTGAACCCGTGGCATCACAAGATGGATGCAAAATCTGCTTGTGGTACCAGTTTCTCCATGGCTATTTCTATCCCTCAGACATCATGGAACCATACATAGAGCAGAGTTTGAGAAAGTTCACCATCACATTTCAAATCAATGGGTGACTAGAAACTGACAAAAGACGAGAGACACCAGTGCCATATCCTATTTGATTCTTTCTAATAAAAAGTGAGAACCGTCTATCAACTCTGTAAAATTTAAAGACAATGTGGGATGCATGTTGTTGCTTTCTAATTTGAAAAAGATGAAGGTACATTTTATCTTGCCTGACATATGCATATAACGCACAGAATACCCTTGCCCCAATTCTCCTAGGTTCTGACTTTTCCTTTCTGGATTTTCTTAACCACTAGTTGGCTTGATAAGTTCAAACCCATGGACTACTGGTACTATAAAACTTCTATCCATCAAAATCTCCTAAAGAAGCTCTGATATTCTCACTAAAAAATCATGAGAGCAAATAAACAGCTCGTTTCTCTTCAAGCAAAGTGGCAACTGTGTGTACTTAAGGTGGAAATAGTTCTCTGTTAATTAACCTGTTAGGCGAAATATTCCGATTCTCAAAAACTCCCAGAGGATAAAGTACAGAGAAGCACTTCTTAGCCCTTAAGCTAAACCATCAAAACAGATTATATGAGAATCCTTTTGTCTTATTCAACACAGTCCGTAGTACACAGGATAATGTACTCCTTACAATGCTTCAATTGTGACACAGTGGAAAAATGACTTCTTTCCGAGAACATTTTCAGCCTTTGGAATGTCTTTGGTCTCTCAGAAAGTCAAAGGAAATCTACTATTGTTTGCTTGCCTGAGTTTATGCCCATTGTGTTTAAACAGAATAAACTCATTTTCAAATTTCTTTGCATAGAACGCAAAACGCTAGCTGAGCTAAAACATTGTGCTAATCTTAAAGAGAACTTTGGTGATTGCAGCAGAACTGGCTAGTGTTGTTATTATATTAAAATATGTTCAACATAACAGGTCTAAGTGTTTTAAACTTGTCTCATGGTGTTCTCTTCAATGAAGTCTGAAGCTACATAATCACTTACAGCTTTTTTTCCCCCTGTATTTGTTGAGTGTGGCTCTGTCCTTGAGCTTTTCTCCTCAAGGCTAGTGCTCTACCACTTGAATGACAGCTCCACTTCCAGGTTTGTGTGGCTAACTGGAGTTAAAAATCTTAGGGAATTTCCTGCCTGGGTTCGTTTAAAACAGTGACCCTGCTAGTATTCAAAGCATGACCCACTGGCTCCTGGCATCTTATAGCTTTTAAAAAGAACCATTGTTTCCTTCCTTCCTTCCTTCTTCCTTCCTCCATTCCTCCATTTTCTCCTCCTCCTTTCCCTTTGGCTGAACAGTCTTGTCCTGTTCCCCCTTTTTCTCCTCTTGCTCCCTTCTCCTACTCCCAGAATGCTATCATATCATGCAGAGGAACAGCACAGAGTCACCTTTTCTGTGCTAATTAATTTTGAATATTCACAATTACTAGACAAAACCAGTAGGAAAGAAAAGCAAAATAGTCACTTGCCTTGATATCCCTCCCTCTGCCTATCTGCCTTCTGTGTAGTCTCCCTGATCCTTCTCCTGGAGCTCCTGGAAGAAGTACTCTGGGTTTGTGTTGACTGAGTAACTGACATAGGCAGGTGCATTAAGTTAGATTTTGTGGTTTTACCTCCAGCCCAACAGGTAATACAGAGAACAGGGTGTGGAATCGTGATATTGAACTAGGCCTCATGAACATTGTCCAAAAGTATTCTTTGAAATCATTTTAAAGATTCACTGTTGTCATTACCTGTGTGTCAATATGAGAAAAAATGAAGAACAGAAGGGACACATTGAGGATCTGGGAGAAAATTATTAAAGAATGGGGTATTTTTTAATGATTACCTTCCAAAGATCCTTAAGGATAGTCTATCCTAAGCCCATTCTTTATTTCTTTTATTCCTTTTTGCTGCTGCTTCTTGTTCTTCTCATTTTTCTTTTCTTCTTCCTGTTTCTGTAGTTAATTCTCTCTCTCTCTCTCTCTCTCTCTCTCTCTCTCTCTCTCTCTCTCTCTCTCACCATTCTAGTATTGGGATTCAGCTCAAGTCTCACATTTCCTAGGCAAGTACCATTTGAACAATGTCTCTAGCACATTCTTGGCTTGGGTGTGTGTGTGTGTGTGTGTGTGTGTGTGTGTACACGCGCATGTGCGTGTAAATTTTCACTTTCTCCCTTTATTCCTTAATTACCTCTCACCCTAACACCACTGAACCTCCTGGTAGTTATTTTGATAAACAGTTTGTTGGTTTGGATTAATTTTGGGAGTGTCTGATTTTATGACCAGCATGGACTGTTATTCTCCTGTATTTCCTTTTGTCACTAGGCTGACAAGCAAGTGCCATTGTGCCCAGCCATAGTGCTTTCTCCGTAGTTTGGGATAACAGGCTTACACCACCACACCCATTCATTGTTGAGATGGAGTATTATGTACTTCTATGCTCAGGCTGGCTTTGAATTACAATCCCTTAATATCCGTTTCCCAAGTGGCTAGTATTATAGTTTATGGATCCCTGACTGAATTTTAAAGCCTGCTTGCACCTTTAATTTTGTATAGTTACTAATTTTAAAGTACAGAACTCAGGGTCTTCAATGGATTTAGCATTCAGTACCCGTTACTAGACACTGGAGAGTCCTGGATTCTGTGTAGCTCTTTACATTGTCACTTAATGATGTCTTCTACAGGGAACTGAGCCTGGTGCCTCAAGACACAAGGACTGAGAGCCTGAGGTATTTCAGATGCTCACAAATCCCTGCCAGCAAGGAGGCTTACTGGATTCCACCCATAAAGTAGTACTTTATGGAACTTGGAGGAAAGGAACTGGACCTACTTAGGATCCCATGATTTTTCAACTCCCTGACTCCACAAAAGCAAGCAGAAAACTCAGAGCCAGTAACAGCTTTCTCCTTAGGGGTCCAAAATCCCAAAATGTTTGGTAAACACCTTTATCTTTATGTTGACTCATTTTTTTTTGTTTGAATGACAAGAAATGTTTGTTTACTTACAAACGAAGATATCTACATACTTATACTCCCAGCCCAAAGCTGATGTTCAAACTTCAATAGCTCTCTCCTATTGCATCCATGTTTCCTTATTCACTAACTTCCCTTGTAAAACCTGCGTTATTTTGTTGGAATTATTTAAAATTGTATCATTTTTTGTTTTATATTATTATACCTGGTAAAAATCATACTACACAGCAATTGAGAGGATGGAATACTTTATCATTCACAAATATTTCCTTTCTAAATATTAGTCTATCCTCTGGTTTGATTCAAGAAATGCAGATTTGAGATGGTATAACTTGCATCTAATTTTTTTATGCATGTACTGGTATTGGGAAATGCAAATGTTTTTAAGTTCTGAAACTAATGTCATTTAAAATTGTGAAGACAGGGCTGGGAAGGTGGCTCAGTGGTAGAGTGCTTGCCTTGCACACCTGAGGCCCTGGGTTTTATTCCTCAGCACCACATAAGCTGAAAAAGCCAGAAGTGGAGCTCTGGCTCAAGTAGCAGAGAGTTAGCCTTGAGCTAAAGAGCTAAGAGACAGTGCCAGGCCCAGAGTTCAGGCCCCACAACAACCAAAACTAAATAAAACTAAATAAAAAATGTGAAGACAGAATGGGGAGCACATGAGGAATTCCTACAAATGGGGTACAGGAGGCTCCTGGTGGTAATCTTACCTATTCCAGAAAGGAAGATGCAGAAGATCATACTTCAAGGCCCACCCAGACAGATAAGTCTAAGACATTTTAACTCCAATTAAACATCAAAAAGCTGGACTAGAGACATGGCTCAAGTGGTAGACCACCGGCCAAGCAATCAAGCAAGGATGAAGACCCCTGAATTCAAACCTTTGTACTTACTTCAAGTTACTTCGTCTCCCATTGTGGGTGATGCTGCAAGCATAACGTGGTTCAGTGAGGAATTAGGATCACCAGAGCCTGCTAGGCTGGAGTTTTTGTGCCAGTTTTCACAAGTGTGGCAGTGTGAAAACACTATGTGAGTCACTACAGCAGGCCTGCTGGGGAGTAATGGCAGGGTTCACTGCAGGCACAGGTGATGTTGTGGCCACATGTCCTGACTGCATGATGTTGTCACGAGGACATCGTAGTGCCACCAAATGAGGCCAGACAGACAACCAAACAGGTTTGGGGCATATCCAGTGATATTCATGGATATCATAGCTCTGTGGAACCAATTCCTTGCACCTCCTAAAAAATTGGATTTAAGGGGAGTCAGGAATCCTCATACTTCGGTTGAATGTTGACTTTTACATTTAATCTAAAGCTCTTTCTATGGCTATTTGCATTCTCTGCAAACTGTTTATTTAAATAGACCCTTTATTATACTTCTGATTCACACCCAAACCTATGGAACCCATCAACAAAAGAAAAGATGGACAAATCATTTAATTTTGATGAATTCGTTTTAAATTGTATTTATTAATAAAGATGGGGGCTTTATTTGAAATAAGGAAAGATAGTGGTAATGCAATGAATAATGCAATAAGTACCACTTGTGAGGAAACAGCTTTTCATCTTTCAGGATCTAGGACTTCTGAAACATGGTCCAGCTCTTTGCTGAGTCAAGCTAGTTTTCAAGCAAGAGAAGATGACTAAAGAGTCATTAATGAGTCTCCACTGGAACATCCTACTAAAGCAATCAAGCTGTAGGTAGAGAAGACTTGTGTTAAGAGAAAGTAAAATAAACTTTCAGTCTTATTAGAAAGCTGGACCTGTCTCTTGAGTCCTGTTACAGAGTTTGATCTTCTACATTTAAAATTTCTGCCTTTGGCAGCCTGTAGGTGCTTCAGAGTTGGAAAGTGAGCGTTTGGTGGATTTTTTAAATCTCAAGTGTCCTGTATTTGATGAGTCACCGTTTGCCATTGTGGCAGAGGTTGCAGGAATGGCTTGGTTCAGGGATGAATTAGGGTCACGAGAGCCGGTTTGTCTGGAGATTTTCTTGCCAGTTTTCTTCCGTCTGGTAGTATTAAGAACACTGTGTGAGTCGTTACCAGAGGTGTGCTGGGGAGTAATGGCAGGGTTCACTGCAGGCACAGGCATGGACATGGCCATATGTCCTGTTTGCATGTTGGTGTCATTAGGTGGTTGCATTGTAGGCACAGTTAGGTCAATAATTGGTGTTTGCAAAGGTACTGGTTGGCTCAGAGACAAACTGTCAGGTTGTCCATTGAAGACCCCGACTGTCGGGTCTGGAAGGACACCAGCGCTAGATGGATAGCCAGTGTGTGGGCCTGGCCCCGGCATGTGCTGGGATTGTATAAATTGACTGTGGGAGTCTTGGATGCTGGAAATAATGCCACCGTGTGGCACATGGGCAGGAGCAGAATGGTACTGGTTCACTACAGAGAGGTTTGTCAAGACGGTTGGAGATGGAAAGATCGAAGCCTCTGACGGATGCGTTATATCCATCATGTTATCGTCATCGTCCATGGACGGTTTTAGTGGTGGGGAAGAGCCACTTCTGTGAACAATGACAACTGCTTGGTCCATGTTGGGAAGGACCGGAGGAGCAGAAGATATTGGAATAGAGGGATTGTACATTTGATGTACAACAGGGATCACATTGACAGAGTCATTAGGTGGTTGCATTGTAGGCACAGTTAGGTCAATAACTGGTGTTTGTAAGGGGACTGGTTGGCTCAGAGAGAAATTATTGTCAGGTTGCCCACTGAAAACCCCAAGAGTGGGGTGTGGAAGGGCACCAGCACTAGATGGATGGCCAGTATTTGGACTTGGCCCCTGCATGTGCTGGGATTGCATAAACTGATAGTAGGAGTCCTGATTGCTAGAAATAGTGTCACTCTGTAGCACATGGGCAGGAGCAGGATGGGCCTGGTTCACTACAGAGAGGTTGTTTGTCAAGATGGGAGGAGATGGAAAGATCGAAGCCTCTGATGGATGCGTTATATCCATCATGTTATCGTCATCGTCCATGGACGGTTTTAGTGGTGGGGAAGAGCCACTTCTGTGAACAATGACAACTGCTTGGTCCATGTTGGGAAGGACCAGAGGAGCAGAAGATATCGGAATAGAGGGATTGTACATTTGATGTACAACAGGGATCACATTGACGGAGTCATTAGGTGGTTGCATTGTAGGCACAGTTAGGTCAACAACTGGTGCTTGTAAGGGGACTGGCTGGCTCAGAGAGAAATTGTCGGATTGCCCACTGAAAACCCCTAGTGTGGGGTCTGGAAGGGCACTAGCACTAGGTGGATAGCCAGTATTTGTTGCAGGAGTGGCCTGGTTCAGGAATGAATTAGTGTCACGAGTGCCTGTGCGTCTGGAGATTTTCTTGCCAGGAGTTTTCTGTCTGGCAGTGTTGCAAACACCAGAAGAGTCACTACAAGAGGTGTGCTGGGGAGTGATATCAACGTTCACTGCGGGCACAGGCATTGGCGTGGCCATATGTCCTGCTTGCAGGTTGGTGTCACTAGTCACAGTTAGGTCAATAATTGGTGCTTGCAAAGGTACTGGTTGGCTAAGAGACAAACTGTCAGGTTGTCCATTGAAGACCCCGACGGTGGGGTGTGGAAGGACCCCAGCACTAGATGCATGGCCAGTGTGTGGGCTTGGCCCCGGCATGTGCTGAGACGGTATAAACTGATAGTGAGAGTTCTGCATGCTAGAAATAACGTCACTGTGTGGCACATAGGCAGAAGCGGGATGGGCCTGGTTCACAGCAGAGAGGTGGTGTGCCAAGATGGGAGGAGATGGAAAGATCGAAGCCTCTGAAGGATGTGTTATATCCTTCATATGATGATTGTCCATGGATAATTTCATTGGTGGGGAAGAGTCATTTCCATGAATAAGGACAGCTGCTTGGTCCATGTTGGGAAGGACCGGAGGAGCAGAAGATATTGGAAGAGAAGGATTGTGCACTTGATGCACAAGAGGGATCACATTGACAGAGTCATTAGGTGGTTGCATTGTAGGCGCGGTTAGGTCAATAACTGGTGTTTGTAAGGGCACTGGTTGGCTCAGAGAGAAATTGTCGGATTGCCCAATGAAAACCCCAAGTGTGGGGTCTGGAAGGGCACTAGCACTAGGTGGATAGCCAGTATTTGTTGCAGGAGTGGCCTGGTTCAGGGATGAATTAGTGTCATGAGAACCTGTGCGTCTGGAGATTTTCTTGCCAGGAGTTTTCTGTCTGACAGTGTTGCAAACACCATAAGAATCACTACAAGAGGTGTGCTGGGGTGTATTATCAGCATTCACTGCAGGCACAGGCATGGACATGGCCATATGTCCTGTTTGTATGTTGGTGTCATTAGGTGGTTGCATTGTAGGCACAGATAAGTCAATAATTGGTGTTTGCAAGGGTACTGGTTGGCTCAGAGACAAACTGTCAGATTGTCCCTTGAAGACCCCAGTGGTGGGGTATGGAAGGGCACCAGCACTAGATGCATGGCCAGTGTGTGGCCTTGGCCCCGGCATGTGCTGGGATTGTATAAACTGATTGTAAGAGTCTTGTTGGTTAGAAATAATGTCACTGTGTGGCACATGGGCAGGAGCAGGATGGGCCTGGTTCACTACAGAGAGGTTGTTTGTCAAGATCGGAGGAGATGGAAACATAAATGCTTCTGAAGGAGGTGTTGTATCCATCATGTTATCGTCATCGTCCATGGATAATTTCATTGGTGGGGAAGAGCCACTTCCGTGAGTAAGGACAACTGCTTGGTCCATGTTGGGAAGGACCAGAGGAGCAGAAGATAGCGGAAGAGAGGGATTGTGCATCTGCTGCACAAGGGGGATCACATTGACGAAGTCATTAGGTGGTGGCATTGTAGGTGCGGTTAGGTCAATAACTGGTGTTTGTAAGGGGACTGGTTGGCTGAGAGAGTAATTATTATCAGGTAGTCCACTGAAAACCCCAAGTGTGGGGTGTGGAAGGGCACTAGCACTAGATGCATGGCCAGTATTTGGGCTGGGTCCCTGCATGTGCTGAGACTGTATAAAATGATTGTGGGGGTCTTGCTTGCTGGAAATAGAGTCACTGTGTGACATTGTGTGCTGTGGTTGCACAACAGAGATGGCATTGGTGGAATAGTGATCATTTTGAGGGACCAAGGTTTGGGAAGAACAGGACCCCCTGGTAGGAGGTAGGTTGGTGGGGGCTGGCCCCATCCCAAGTTGCCCCTGGTACAGACTGCAGGGGATTTGGGGAACTGGATAGGTATAGGGCGTTGCAGGGGCAGTGGGGTCTGGGCCCACGGTGACATGGCCCTGAGGCGGACTGCAGAGCGCCTGGGGTACTGGTGGGCTGGTGGGCACTGGCCCATTCGGCAAGTGTCCTGGTTGCAGGCCACAGGGGGCCTGAAGTATTGGTTGTGGGGGAGGTATAGGTGGGCCGCTGGGTACGGGCCCATTCATAAAGTTTCCCTGTTGCAGGCTATTGGGAGCCTGCGGCAATGCACAGGAGTCAGTGGTAGAGACTTGGGGAGATGAGTAAATGACGGCTGCAGATGGTGGTGTGGTATCCATCTGAACAATATCGTCATCTGTGGCCGGCTGCAGGCTCACATGACAGGATAGGCTGGGGGCGGCTGCAGCCATATCAGTGGTGGTAGTGTTCATGGGAAGTGGGACTACAGGGAGGGTGGGGAAGGGAAGAGGACAGGAATCAGGAGAAGTAGCAGTGTTAGATTCCTTTGTGCAGGGGAGAATGGAATGATCAGGAAGAGGAAGTTTGGAGGAGAGAGAAGTGGTAGGGGTTGCAGCTCTCATTAAAGGGGCATGGTTTCCATTTTTATCATTTAGAACCCCCAGTTGAGAGGCTGGGGTACCAAAAGGAAGAGAGTCTGCAGGAGGAGCCAAAGAGGAAATGAGGATTTTAGGTGCCAGACCCTCATTAGAGTTAGATGAGGATGCTGGCACAATGTTGGCCCCAGCAGCCTGCTCTTCCACATTAGCGGTGTTGAGAAGAGCTGGGATGTTTAAAGTGCAGGCAGGCAGGGTCACGAAGACATAAGTCTCTACAACAGGTGGAGGAACAGAAGAGGCAGTGTTGATGTCACTGCCATCTGTCACTTCTGTTCTCCTCCCTGAACATTTTGTCTTACAGCTTTTACTGTGAGTAGACTGAGTGGTGTTACATTTGTCCACGTCTTTCTGCATGTCCATGCATGGAAGTTTAGGAGGAGGGGGAAGCTCACTGCGACCCCACTGTACGGGCACTGGCACAATCTCTGGCAAAGGCAGAGCTGATGGCAATGCTGCTTTCCTTTTGGATGCTCTGTGAGCTGCCAGATTTGGGGTAGCAGGGCTTGCTGGTGGTCTAGCTGTGGGTGTTTCAACTGCCACCCCCTTCACTGACTCCAGGGAGTCCCGTGGTGGACGAGCTTTGGGCTTTACACCCACTGCCCCCTTCGCTGTCTCCTGAGAGTCTGGTAGATGAGCTCTGGGCTTTTCACTGTCCACCATCTTCGCTGACGCTTGGGAGTCTTGTGTTGGATAAGCTTTGGGCTTTACACCCACCACCCCCTTCGCTGACTCCTGGGAGTCTGGTGGTGGACGAGCTTTGGTATTTTCACTGTCTACCCCCTTCGCTGACTCCTGGGAGTCTGGTGGTGGACGAGCTTTGGGCTTTTCACTGTCTACCCCCTTCGCTGACTCCTGGGAGTCTGGTGGTGGACGAGCTTTGGTATTTTCACTGTCTACCCCCTTCGCTGACTGCTGGGAGTCTGGTGGTGGACTTGCGGTGGGCTTTTTGCCCTCCACCACCTTACCTGACTCCTGGGAGCGTGAGCAGTTCGGGGGCTGGTTTTCACCCAGATTGTCCGCGGTGGTGTTTTGCGAGCTGGGAATGTCACGGCCATGAGATTGGGTACCTAGAGGAGACACAAGCACCTTTTCGTTCCTTTCCACACTGGGAAGAGTTCCCTGCTGGGGAGTAAGGCAGCATCCATTGAGAGTAAGTCTCTCCTGACGGTCACAGGACGGCATGGTGCCGTTGCTCCGTTGCTAGGTCGTCCCCTCCCACTGGCCTGTCCCTGATGGTCTCCCTGAATTTTGAACTCACCCTCTTGGCCTTCGAACTCGTCGCTGTTGGAGTCGGGAAGAGGGACGTCCCACGGCATCCTGGGCACCACAAGATGATTGCGCGGTCTGGGTGTTGCAATTCGGGCTGTGGACTCGAGCTGACCCGAAGGGGTGCTTGGGCTGCTGGGGGTTTCCAACCCCGAGTCTCCAGCTGGCAGCGGAGGCGCAGGTCTTTTTGGCGATCGCTCTGGAGACGCCGGAGGGCCCTGCCCCGGGGTGGTGTCCGAGGCCTCCAGCTCCGGGCACCTCCTCTTGGGGGCCCTGGGTGGACCGGCTGGTGGCGGTGCCGGCCTGGGACCCGTCCTGACCTTCCTACAGACGGGACAGCGTGCAGGCTCGGGTCCTGCGCTGCGACCCCACCTCGGGAAGGTGAGGCTGGGCAGCTCATCATACAATTTACTGAGAACGTTTGCCATGACGGGCAAATATGTGCGAATTATCAGCTATGAGAGGGAGAAGGGGCGGCAGTGATCCTTCTCCTCGGGTCGCTGAGGACGCACTGCCCAGCCTGGCCTCTGTGACATCACCTGCGCATTCCACAGACCAAGTGCGCCGCACGCGGAGGGCGCGCGGCGGCTCCAAGTTCCGTTTGAACCCCACATTCTTCTGATGGTCACGCAGATGCTAGTGGCCCAGGCAGCCCCTGGACCCAGCATGAATGGGAGAAGCTCTCCATTCATCCACCTTCTTGCAATCCTAGTATCTGAGTTACTGTCTATTTCCATAGTCCATCCAGGACCCTCTTCCACATTTCTTATCTACAGTGAGCACAAGCACTTGTCCACAGGCATCATCTCCTCACATCAGGCTCCAGGGCACCAACTGTCAGCACAGCTTCATGCCCCTCTCTCTTGGACTTGAGTCTTGCACACTAAATGCATTTCGTTTAGGTGGAGGAATTCAACGGTGTCGTGGACTTCCTGTGGGCTTTTTGTCCCCAACCACCTTACATGATCCCTGGCAGTTTGATCAGTCTGGGAGTTGGTTTTCACCCAACCTGTCCTTGGCACAGCTTTGGGAGCTGGGGATCTCACAGGGTAACTACAGGAGACACGAGTATCTTTCAACATTGGGAAGATTTCCCTGCTGGGAAGTAGGGGAGCATCCACTGCAAGTGAAGGCTCTCCTCATGGATAGATTATGTAAGATCTCTTTGGATGTGTGCTAAAGAAATTCAGCAGCCTGTTATTCCATATAAATACCAAGCTAGTTTTCTGGTCTTTATGGAAGGTGTGGACAAATCACACAACTCATTGGTTTGCTAGCAAAGAATGGAACCTAATTTGCACTTTATGAGACACCAGTTGGGTGTACTGTTCAAGAACATTAGGGTCAAGTTAATATAAGTTTAGATTTCCTTATGCCCAAGACCAGAGTTCTCCTACTGGAGGTATGGACAAGGGATATATACATAGGATGATTGAAAGAGTTATAAATTTCACCAAGATAACTAAAATTGGAAAACACATACCCATGACTTCGTCTTAGTTGTATCTTGTTGGTTTGATTCCCTACATTGCAGAAATTGTTTCTCTTATAAAGAATTATTTGTGTCACCATTATGCAGAGATCTCAAATACATGAGTGACAGAAGGCTAATGAAGTATATATGTATATACACATACATATATTTATATGCATTTTCTTGAAAATAACATGAACACAAAATGCATATCTATCTATCTATCTGTCTATCTGTCTTTCTGTCTGTGTATCTATCTATCTATCTATCTATCTATCTATCTATCTATCTATCTATCTATCTATCTATCTATCTATCTATCTATCTATCTATCTATCTATCTATCTATCTATCTATCTGTGTGTGTGTGCTGTTTTGTATTTGAGTCAGAGTATCACCAGGACTCTAATTCATCATTCTCCTGCCTCAGATTCCCATGTGTCAGTATGCCCAATTTACTGTTTTAATTTAAAAATCTATTTAAGAGAAAATTTACATATTGCACATAATGACAACTATTGGTCATAACAACCATGAATTTAGCTTCACGAATGTACGAATCTCATAGGTTTGAGAATTCCCACCAGAACGCACTAGTATTTTTCTAATTGGTGACCTGGTGTGTGATTTCTGCCCACATCATCCCCACTGTTCTAGGAAACTGTCACAGTCTAAAAAGTAAGGAAACATAATATAAAATTAGAGATAATTTTGTCTAAAACTCTGAAATATTATTTCATAGAATGAGTATCAAAAGGCATGACTTAAAATAAATTGACGACATGGAATTATATCTAAAAATGAAAGTCAAATTAGGAATGATATGTACTGAAGTGGTTTATATCTTTCATCTTTTTGGAAAAGAGAAAAAAGTGGTCTGCTAGAACTTGGAGAAGTTACTTGTTCTCAGGTCACAGACAGCCAAGAACCAGAGTCAAAGTCTGAAAACTCTTCCTTCAGATGCAAGTGCCCTGCAGGGTTAACTATGGATGGAAGGAAAATACAGGACAAACCAGGAAGTACAGGCTCTCATTTGTCATCCTAGCTACTCAGGAGGGTAGCCATCCTACACAGAAAGGTTTACAAGTGTCTACCTCCAATTTACCAGCTAAAAGTCAGACTTGGGGAGTGGTTCAAATGGTAGAGGGTCAGTCATGGACTGAGAAAGAATGATAGATGAAACCCTGGCACTACAAGGCAGATGTAAAGTCTGTTTGTTGTTCTACAGTTCTCCAACCTTCAGTCACCATGGGACCATACATAGAACAGGGTTTGAGAAGGTTTATAATCACGTTTCAAATCATTGGGGTGACTAGAAACTGACAGTAGGTGACTAGAGACAACAGTTTCATATACTATTTAATTCTTACCAATAAAAAGTGAGAACAGTCCATCAACTCCCTGAATTTCAGAGACAATGGTAGGATGTTAATTCTAAGTTGGAAAAAGATGAAGACACACTGTAACTTTCCTGAGATAATATGTAAAACTGATAGACTTACTTTTAAAAGCCCCAATTCTCCCAAGTTCTGACTTGGAACTCCTTTCTGGGTTTTCTTACCACTACTTGGATGGATATTATTTTCATTGACATGCACAAAGCCAGAGACTGCACTATGGAACATCCTTTTGTCAAAAGCCCCTAAAGCAGCTCTGATATTCTCACTAAATAAATCAGAGCAAGTAACTCATTTCTCTTCAAGGACAATGACAGCAAGGTATACATAGGATACAAATAGTTTCCTGTTAATTAAACTCATATATGAAAAAAAACTCATATATGAAATCTTCAGATTTTCACTATGGTTAAACAGAGTAAATACTTTTTAAATTTATTCACATAGAAAACAAAATGCTAGCTGAATTGAAACATTGTGCTAATCCTAGAGAGAATTTCAGTGATCACAGGAGAACTAGCTAGTGTATTAAATCGAAATGTTCAACCTAGTGGGCCTGAGTATTTTAACCTCGTCTCATGGTGTTCCCTTCTGTGAAGTCCGAAGCTCAATTGCTTCCTATTACATTTAACAGGGCCCTTCCTTCCTTCCTTCCTTCCTTCCTTCTTTCCTTCCTTCCTTCCTTCCTTCCTTCCTTCCTTCCTTCCTTCCTTCCTTCCTTCCTTCCTTCCTTCCTTCCTTCCTTCATTTCCTTCTCTTCCCCTCCTTTTTCTCTTCCTCTTCTACTTCTTCCTCTTCCTTCTGACTTCCTTTCTTTCCCCTCTCTTGCTTCTCCAACTTCCCTTTTCCTCTCCCTCTCCTCCTCTCTCTTTTTCTCCCCTTCCTTTCCTCCTTCTTTCCCCACTTTCATTTTGGGTCTGAGATCAAAGAACCCATGCTATATTAATATTTATTGACTTTACAAACAATGCTAGACAATTCAAAGTGTTAAAGAATAAAGTTAAAAGCAGGACAAGAAACAGTCTTCAAAAACTCAATACTAAGAGCTAGAAACAGCAAAGAGCTGCTGTTGTTACAAGGTGGAGTAGAGAACAGGAGCAAACAATGTACTATGGTATTCACAAAAGCAATGAGATTAACTTTAGGAAGTATCATCCATGGCATATCAGCATCCTGAATAACATGGATTATAGGTATGAGCCACCAGTGCCTGGTTGTATCCTTTTATATAGAGTTGCGATGATCAGGGTAGCTGCTCTTGCCTGTGGATTTAGAACTAAAATTCTTATTTTCCTTATTTCTATCAAGTACACAGCAGGAGATTTTATACATTATGTGGACATTTCTGTCCTCCTTGCTCCATTTTTTCCTCTTCTTTTTCTGACCAGTAGCTTGAAGAAGGATCTGATATGTCTAAGTAATTTTCTATTTTCTTTTCTTTAGATAGAGTGATTGTGACTGGCCCGGTTCTGAGGCTTGGACCTCAAGATTGTTTCTCCTTTGGCTTTCCTAAAGGAATCTGTAATTGTTTTGATCCTGTACTAAAACAAACAAGTGTATTTTAAACCTGATGCTCAGCCTTGAAAGACATATTTGTTTCCTGTCTCTCTCACATGACACATTTTCTCTTGACTCAAAGGCTTTGCACATCCTTCCTGTGTTGACTGTTAAAAGTCCTTTTTAATTCCTTCTTCTCAGTTCTTGACATAAATATTATCTCCTCAGACATATCAGCTCCTGGTGAACCAACCCTTCCTCCACACTCCCTCATCTTCTCTTATTAAATATTCTGCTTTTAAATAGAATAGTGTTTAGGGTTTTTTTGGGGGGGTCCAGTCATGGGTCTTTGAACTCTGGGCCTGGACGTTGTCCCTCAGCTCTTCAGCTCAAGGCTAGCGCTCTACCACTTGGGCCACAGCACCACTTCTGGCTTTTTTTTTCTGCTTATGTGGTGATGAGGAATCAAACCCAGGGCCTCATGCATGTAAGGCAAGCTCTCTACCACTGAGCTACCTTCCCAGCCCTAGAATAGTATTTAGTACAAAGTTAGTACTTAAGCACATCACATTCAAAATGTTGGAAATGGTATGCCACCTATATTTAACTACTATTTCTTTTTTGCCACAGATGTTTGCTACTATGCACAAATGCAAGTGTGATACCTGGGAGAGAGCCTGGTTGGTGCCAGGCAGTAACAATTTAAACTAAACCCTCTTCTTTCTAGCTATTACCCACCTGTGCAATCAGCCCAACCTACTTTCTTTGCTTCCCATTGCCAAGGCTTAGATGGGAAAACCCAGGGAGAGCCTGAATACCACAATGCAACAGCCTAAAAGATACACAGAACAAGACACTATCAGGGACTAGGAGGCAAAGATGGTGTGGATGCTGCCCTGTCTCCCTAGAAACCTGGGCAGTGCTTCAAATCCTGAGGATCTGAGCGTGCCCAAGAAAGAAATGTTTGATAAATAAACTGATCTCATTCTGTCCTTTCATCTGGGAAACTCATCCAAGGTCAAGCATAGTGTTACAGATAGCTCTGGGTCATGTCATCCAACACAAAGTAACTCTTTTACCCTGTCAGGCACTTACAGTTCATGCTACCTTTTCTGTGAAAGATCTTCCACTTTATTTCTGAGGTTAGAAATATATTTCATTTATTTTAAATCCAGAGAGGAAAAAAAACTGAACATCCACTTTGCACACATTAGAACATATAGACTATTTTTCTAATCAGAACCCTTTCACAAGTCTTGCCGTTTTCCAAATCCAAAATCATTTTGTACTGCTTGAAAGCCAGCTCTAGCATTGCTAGCAGAATTATACATGAGGGATACATTTCTCATGCTGATGACTGCATTCTTCTTGGCCCATTTTCTTAGACTTATTTTGTGTTTTAATTATGACCAAGATGTATTTGGCTCATTTGATGAGGGTCCCTTTCTCTATCTGTTGATATTGAAAATATAGAATAAGAAAAACAGCTTGTTACCTTGTGTGGCTGAATTCCTGACATGTTATTTACTTTTTAATCTATTTCACAGAATAAGAAAAACTACTACCAAGATAGGTAGTGTTCAAAAGGAAATATTACAGAAATGTGAGTTGGAGGAAAACAGTAATTGTTCAGTTTCATTTAGCTCAGTTCTTGAATTGAAATTTGATTAGACTATAAATTTTACACTATAGTATTCATGCATTCTATAACAATACGTAAGAAGGCCAAACCTGACCCAGTTAACTTCTATTTACAATATTCAGGTAAATACATGTAAAATAATAGCATATCTTCATTAATGACTATCTAATAAGGCTTTATTCAGGGTATTAGGTATTCATAGTATATGTTTTTTAAATTTCATTGTTGTAAAACACGGGCTTCTCTATTTTTTAAAAAATCTGGTTGCTATTTACATAGATTTCTTTCATTTTTAAAAAAGTCAAAACATTCTATTCTTTATGGTTAAACAGTACTTTAATGTATTTACAAAAGATAAATGATTTATTCATTTATGTGCTGTAGGTCAACAAGGCAGAATCTGCATTCTATACTGTGAACTATGCTACTATGAACACAGGTGTGTAAGTATGCTGACTTACACCCCTTTATGGCCAGGAGTGGCAGAGCAGGATCAGATAGTGGTTTTGTTTTTCATTTTCTAAGGGACTTCAACATTGATTTCCATAGGGGTTATAGTAACTTATATTCCCAACAGTGCTGAATGGTGTTTCATTCACCCATATTCTTACCAACATTTCTTTCTTTCTTTTTTTTTTTTTTTTTGTTGGTTGTAGGGCTTGAACTCTGCGCTTGAGTGTTATCCCTGCACTCTTCAGCTCAAGGTGAGCGCTCTACCACATGAGCTACAGCGCCACTTCTGGTTTTCCAGTGGTTTTTATTGGAGATAAGAGTCTCATGGCCTTTCCTGCCCGGGCTGGCTTTGAACCGAGATCCTCATATCTCAGCCTCCTGAATAGCTAGGATTATAGGCGTGAGCCACCAGCACCAGGCTACCAGCATTTCTTATAGTATTACTTAGCTAGGAAGGACAGAATTTTTGTTGTTTATAAGAAAATGGATGAAACTGGCAATCATCATGTTAAACATAGTAAGTCTGACTGAGGAAGAATGGTCTCTGTCATATATAGGAAAAATATCTATAAATAAATAACTAGACACTATGTTGAAAATAAACAATACAACTTGTGGGAAAGGGTAGGGAGAAAAAAACTGGGAGAAAAGAGGGAAGAGGTAACATTGTTCAAAGAGAAATGTACTTATTTCCTAACTTATGTAACTCTAACCCCTCTGTACATCACCTTTACAATAACAATAAAAAAGGAGCAAAGATACATACAAGGAAGATTATTTGCTATTTGATGGAGAACTGTCTATCTAAAAAACTACAGAAGGCAATGGAGATAAAGGTGAATCAAAAGGAAGTGTTCAAATACACTCAGAGAAAATGTCATGTCTCTTTTTGATCATCCACAGAAAATAATCAATGCAAACCTCCACATATGTAACACAGATGAAAGGCAGGTAAAAGTCTTACTTATTAGTCCTGTGGCATTACTGGGTGTTGAACTCTAGGCCTTCCTTTCCCTGAGCTTTTTCAGTCAAGGCTGACACTCTACCTCTTGAGCCGCTGGTCCATTTTCCAGTTTTTTTCCTAGTAAATTGGAGAGAAGCATCTCATAGACTTCACATCCTGGGCTCACTTGGGGATCTTCAGATTTCAGCCTCCTGAGCAGCTAGAATTATAGGCATGAGCCATTGGCACCTGGCTATTACATTTTAGGGCAATGAAAGTTTTAGTGTAAAGCATGTACTATTAACACACTCAGAGAAATCTGTTCCTTTTCTCTTGCCTTTTATAGCTTAGTGGAAGGTCATTCCCATGTATTTTTGTGGTAAAGACCTCATCTTTTAGAAAAGTAATTCATATGTATCTCTGTGCATTCTGCATGTGCTGCAAATCAACAGTAACAAGCATGCTGTTTTCTCACTACTTTCTAGTCATATGGATTAAGAGCTAAAGCTCTTTATTTTTCTGTTTGTTTTTAGATGGGCTCTCACTCTTTAGGCTAGGCTGATCTTCCTCAACCTCTCATGTGTTGGGATTATAAGCCTGTGCTTAAAATGAGCTCTCTAATCATAATTCTGAACTCTAGCATTAGATGTTTTTGTTCCTGAGTGGCTGGGAAAATAAATCCAAGATTTTTAACATGCTGGATAGGAGTTCCATATTGAGCCACACCCCAACATTTATTAGATTTTGAGAGAGATTCTCAGCATATTGCTCAGGCTGACTTTCAAATTGTGGTTTTTCTGTCTCTGTTTCTAGGATTCTGGGATAGGCATGAACCATCATGCTAGACTTTGTTTATTTGTTTGTTTGTATAGAGCCTTGTTCTTATTAGGTAGTCACTCAGCCTCTTGAATCATGCCCTCAACCTTTTATTGTATTGGTTATTTTCAAAGTATGATCTTGTTTTATGCCCAAGCTAGCCATGGATTCAATCCTGTGTGTCCTTTTGTTGAGGGAGATGGTAGATAAGTACTGATGGTGTCCAGCCATTGCGTTTCCTCTGTACCTGAGATACAAGGATGTGCCACCACATGTGATCATGTTGTTAGACTTTTAAAATATTGAAATTTGTGCTGGGTGTGAATGGCTCTTGCCTTCAGTATTAGCTACTCAGGTGGCTGAGACCTAAGGATTGTGGTGCAAAGCCAGGCAAGGGAAGGAAAGTGCATGAGACTCTTATCTCCAATTAAGCACCGAAAAGCCAGAAGTGAAGTTGGGGGTCAAGTGGTAGAGTGCTGCTAGCCTTGAGCAATAAAACTCAGGGACAGTGCCCAGGCCCTGAGTTCAAGTACCAGGATTGGCACAGAAAATGGGAAGAGAGTCATTTGAAGAGATAGTCCTTTGAAACAATTATCCTTCAAATGAACAACATATATTTATTATTTATCTGATAACTCTAAAAGATAGACCCAACCCTGTTGAGCAGAAATTTTACTATTTGAACTCAGGGCCTTGGAGTTGCTAGGCAAGCCCTTTATCACTTGGTCCATGCCTTCAGTTCCATTCTGTTAGGCTATTTTTTTTTATCCAGTTTGAGTCTCATGTTCTTTGCCTGGTCCAGCCTGAGGCTCCAACCCTCCAATCTATGCCTCCCATGCACCTGAGATTATATTGCCATTCCTGTCTAGTTTATTGAGATGGATGTCTTAATATCTTATTGTCCAGCTAGCCTCAAACCACGACTATCCTTTCAATAGCTAGTAGCTCCAAGGAGCTGAGATTACAGGCATGAGTCACTTCATTCAGCTTTTCCTTCTTACGGTACAAAGCAATACATGTATTTGTTTGAATCCTGTCCTCGGGGCACTTAGGCTCAGGTGGTGGCGTGTGTGCCTACTTGAGTGTGATAAGAGACTTATATGCCCTTTTATTTTCTTTTCTAATAGGCAAAGTTACGCGTTTTAAATAGGAAATAGCTGTGCTTTCCAGAAACCAGCATCCAAACTGAAATTGAATTCATTTATTTATTAATTTCCTCTTCTCCTTCACGTTTGCCAGGACCTGATTACTCCCACGTCAGAGTGATTCCAGGATGCTCTCCTCCCTGCCAATGGTGGGAGACATGGTGAGGATATGTGGAGGCTCCTCCACATGCAGTCTTCACAGTCTCCCATCTGCAGAAGGCTTTTGGAACTCTCTGCCTCTCTCTTCCATGTCCATGATCAAATTCAGCTCCCAAACTCACTGCTCCTGAAACACTGTCCACCTCACAGTCTTTAGGTCACCTTTTCCTTTGCCATATCATATAGACAGCACCCACCAGACCCCCATGCTCCTCCTGCCTGTCCTTTCCTTTCCTGCCCTAGCTCTGATCCATTCCCACACTCTGGGGAGACCTTGACTCATCCTTACAATGAAGAATTTCATGATAATCTCCTCCCCACACTGACCTCCAAGTCACTGCTGCTTCCTCAAGATCATACTGATGGTCGCATTTGTCTCCCTGATACCCAGAGGCCACTGTGTCTGCTCTTGCTGGCTGGACTTCCAAACTCCCTCTGCAGCGCTGACATCAAATTCTGGTTCTGGTTTCTTCTACCAGGCCTGCTCTTACTTCTGACATCCCCCCAAATCTGTGCACAGTGCACAGATTAAATTATTTCATGTCAACTCCTGGAGCCTGAGTTTCAGGAATCAAAATCAATAAATGACACAGTGGCCACCAATTTTCCAACTTCTCAAAGACACAAGTCCACTCGTGGCAGTGACTTCCTGTTCCACCTATTCACTGAAGGTATCTTTCCCAGATCAGTCAAGAAGCAGGGAAACATGCATGCTCTAATTCTCACTCCATCATCCTTAATGAGAATTTTGTTCAGGGGGTCTCTACGAAAGTGGTATGAGGTTTCACTCAACACAGGATCCACAAAAGAATCGAGCATGTCAGGGCTACATTAGCATCACCTTAGCACATTACACATCCCAACCTGCTGGTTATTCCAATGGAGATGTGTTGTGTGGGTGAGAGGATCCTTGTGGAGAATGTGTATTGTCTTTCAGTGTCCTGCCCTGCTATTCAATTTCTCCCTTCTGTACCCTGTTGCCATTAGATTTCATTATGCCATCTACCTTGTCACCGCCCAAAAGAGTGAAATTAACCAATGCCACCTTCCAGATTGCAGGAGGAAACTTACTTAAATAAGGGGTACCCTAAAACTTCTAGTTTCTCCCCTGGAAGTAAGCAATACCACAAGGTACCAGCTTTATTAGTCTGTACCTCAAATAAATATACATTGGACAGAGCTATAGTAAGAACAAACTTTTGCTTTGTGAACTGCTGAGACCTATGTCCTCATCATATTATGTATCCTAAACTGTCCCTTATGGCAAGAATCAGATGCCTGGAGTAAGATTGCTCTTTCCCAGTACTGCTTCATGCCTAGACAGGGCAGCCCCTTGCATTCAAGTTTATGCATATCTTCAGTAAGAAAACAAAGTCCCCAGTAACACAGCAAGAAAAATGTAGTATTTTTCTCTCTTTCTCTTTGTTCAGGTTTAGTAGTAAGGAAATTTGCAGGGAAAGGGGTTAATAAGAATTTTTAAACTTTTAGGTCATAAAAATCTTTGTTATGTATTGAGTTTGACTGATATATAATTAAGATAGTAACGCTAATGAAATGTATGGCAGGATCCAGTGATAACCATAAATTTCTCATAAATACTGCTTAGAAAAGATTGTATGTATGTATTAACTACTTCAGACCAAAACATAAATTATTAAGTTAATTTTTTTAATATTTGAACTAGTAGTCTAGTAAAGGTGTTTTTTAACCATACACTTCAGAGTTATTCTAGCAATGTAAATACATTTCACTCAATTAACAAGAAATGCACATAACTCTGTGCATTTCATCTAGGCTACCACTTGAGAAATTTATCTTTGCTCTGTGTAGCTTTCCTAGAGATTTTCTTTTTCATATCTGAACTATCATTAAGCATGTGTAATTAACACATGTAATGATGTGTTAATGACCTCTTATTTATACAGCACAGAGCTCCAATGAACACAAAAGTGCTCTATTTACTTAATGTATTCACTAAACATATGCATCTGGAACTATCTTTGGACTTCAAATGAATTAACTCCGCAAGGCAGTAGATTTCTTTAGGAGAAAATGTATTTAAGGGATAGAATAAAAAAACTAAGACATGCAAATATCCCTTTGTATGACAAACTTATTTAAGGCTCTTGACTGAGAACTGGAGTACAAGGGAAATTCTCTGCAATTCCTATCAGTGTTTGCCAGGTCCCTGGTGACTACAGAGGGCCTTAAATTTTTATTAACATCTAAGAAGGACTTAATTTGTAATGAAAGGCTGCTTTGCAATCGCCACTAATTCTCCATTTACCTGCCTCTATAATTTGCTTCACTTATGGCAGGCTCTTACATTAATATTCATTATAGAAGCTCCTCTCCAATATTCCTTGATGTGACAGAAATGCATTAGCTATGACAAATGCTTCCTGATGTACTCAGAGTCTGAACGCAAGCAGAATCTATGGTAATTATTGCTATTTAAACACACAGATTATTCCTTTTTGGTTTCTTTTTTAATGGAAATAAAATCCATAGCTACCACAGATTAGAATTCTCTGCTTAGAAAACTAACAAAGGAGATTTGATTTTAATGTCATCCCCACCCCCATGTGAACATATTCTTTACAGAGAGAGTGGCATGCAGTCAGCCTGGTGGATCCACACATATACACAAAGAAAAGGAGAAATTAGAAAAGTCCATATAGTGTAATGTGGTGGTGTTCACACCTGTAATGTGGTATCCGGAAACTGAGGCAGGAGGATGGTGAGTTGAAAGCCAGCTTGGGCTGCCCAGGGAGTACTTGTCTTTGAGAACCAAGGGATGCAGATGTAGCTCAGTGGTAGAGCACTTGCCTAGCATTTCCTACTGTGGAGAAAGCCCCTGGTTCCTCCTCAGCACAGGATGAACTTCTTATTTGTGTAGGAAAAAAAATGGGCCAAGGACTCAGGAAGTGACCTTGTTGGTTTCACCTGTTATAGCTCAATGTCGTATCATAACGCAGGATAGTTGAAATACCAGTGTACACCCTCTTTATACCTTCTTCCACTAGAGAAAGGTCCAAAGGCAAAGAGGGACATTTGTATTTTACTGATCAGTAAGATACACAATACATATAACCTGGTTCACTAGTACATTAATTCTCTGATGATAGTTGTCATTTAGTTGCTTATTAATTCTGTAAGTTTAGATTTTGGTATCTCCCAATAAGCCACTTTCATTCAGAGGGTATGGATCCCTTTCATTGTAACAAGTAATTTAACACTCATCTGTTCTTGAAATATATTCAGATGTACATTTAGATATAGTATTCTAAACAATTCATTTTGTCCAATACATAAACAATTGAGGGGTAGTTGTGGAGGTAGCAAAGAAGGGATGGTAGGGGAAAAACAAAGGAGGAAACAACAATGCTCCATAGGAAATGTACTCATTACCTTGCTAAGGTAACTGTAAAATACTTTTATAATAAAAATGTACAAAAAGATTGTTTTTTTAATCTGCCAGTACTTGGGTTTCGATTGAGGGCCTTTTGCTTGCTCAGTTTGGTATTGGCCTGATGCTTTTACAACTTGGGCCATACCTCTAGTCCAGCTTTTTGCTAGCTATTGAGTAATGGAGCCTGGAAGACTTTTCTGCCCAGGCTAGCTTCAAACCACAATCCTGTGGGTCTCAGCCTTCTGAATAGATAGGATTACAGGCAGCAGACACCAGCACCTAGACAGTTATTTCCACTAATATTCCCCTCAGAAGACATAGGCTTATCATATGACAAGATAAAACTGGCCATTATCAGATAGATACATGGTATTATTAATTTTAAATTGTATTTACTCATAACTTCATAACTTTTCTTTTTTCCCCTTCCTTCCTTCCTTCCTTCCTTCCTTCCTTCCTTCCTTCCTTCCTTCCTTCCTTCCTTCCTTTCTTCCTTCCTTCCTTTCTTCCTTCCTTCCTCTCTGTCTCTGTCTCTCTCTGTCTCTGTCTGTCTCTCTGTCTGTCTCTCTGTCTCTGTCTCTGTCTCTCTCTCTCCTAGGCAAGGTATATAGTCCAGGTAGGACTTAAAGATGAGATCTCCCAGCCTCAGCTTCCCAAACTTTGTGATTGCAAGCTCATACCACCACACCTTGCTCTTTGCACTTTAAAAAAAAATCATTATCAGCCAGAGTTGTTGGCTTATGACAGAAATCCTAGCTGTTTAGGAGGCTGAGATCTGAGGATCATGGCTCAAGTTTGTGAGACTCTTATCTCCAATGAACTACTTCCCCCAAAGCCACACATTGAGGAAGTGGCTCAGATGATAGACCACTACTTCAGTGGAAAAGCTTAGGAACAGCTCCTAGGCCTACAGGATGGCACACATACATTCAAAAAGTCATTCTTAATGACTTGAATTTAACCTGCAT